GCTATAAGTCTTTAACAATGGATGGCCACTCTCCAAATAGGAGTTTCCCCAATGGAAGACAACTCCAGCAAGCAGCTTTTCAACAATGGAGCAGCAACTACTAGGAAAACACAACCTTTCCGGAGGACTGAGTTTTAAGACCTCTCATCAGGCAAAACAGAGAGCTGTGGTTCAAATGAGGTACCTGTTAAAGAAAACTATTTACCAAATTCGAAGAAGGAAGATAAGAGTGGATGCGAGTCATCTAAAAATAGGCTAAATGCTCCAAGAAGTTATTCATAAATGCTATTTCATATAAGGTCTGTTCCCAACAATAGTGGCAATCACCCCAATTAACATTTGTTTCCACATATTCAAATAGTCTATCATTCGTGCTAATTAAAGGTAAACACCTTAGTTGCATGAGACTAACTAGCTAATAAGATGAACTTCAAAGTCATGTACACCCACCTGAATTGAACAAGTGCAATATCCAGAAAATTGTTCCTTAAATTGAAATTATCTAGTAATAAACAACCACAGTACAACCTAAACCACTCAGCAGGACCAAGCTAATTATAGATACATACGAGGATTACTATTTATACTACTCCCTCCGTCCCATTCCTATCTTCAACTTATTAGAGTTTCCCACACATATTAGTAAACTAGTAAAGATTGGGAAGTAATTACACAGAAATTGCCTCGCAAAACAAAACCAGGAGAAATAAACAAAAAATGATGATCAGGGTTTACAGCCTTGGTCAAAACCATGAAATCAATATAATACCCAAGAGTTTGAAAAAAAATAGGAAATAAAAAAATTTAATAACCAGCAATTGGCAGACAAGTCTATCAATCCAGTATGTATTTGCAAAAATGTATGATAAGTTGAAACCTAACTGGCCAAGGAGACTTTCATGCCAGTCAGTAAAGAAACCATTTCACCAGTCATCATTTAAGTTAATTAAGCTACCCATTCTCTTCATACTTTAATAGGTTAAGAAACATACTTGTAGGTTCTAACTTCTAATATATGAACAAATGGTTGAAAACACCAAGAATGAAAAACATCAAGTATGGAAACTAGGAGAAGAAAGACGATTGAGACCTCAAATTGGTTTTGAAATAGAAAGTACTGAACATCTTTTAAGCTCCATATATACAATTCCATTAAGTTATTGTCCTCTTTCTTGACATTAACAATAATCTATTTTTTTTTACCTGACAATCTCTCCAATGTAATACACTCATACATATTACTCTTACAACTAATTGAACCTTAACGAACCTAAATATAGCAATGTATTCTAATGGCCCTTTTACAACACCCATCCCTTGTTTTCAGTTAGAATTGGAAGCCTTTTTGGAGTGCCTTTATAATGTGCTGATGAATGCACCTAAAAGCAACTTTAAACTCTCATTTTCTATACTTTTAACTGAGAATGGATGTTATCAAACTTTCTTCTTAAACCTGTTTTACACCTGGTAAAAGATACAAATGGCCTGAAAAAAACTTCAAATATTGAATTTCATCCTTATGTAATCAATGCAATAGCGTGGGCCAAATCTATGTGAACTAGGAGCCAGACACCTACACCAAGGTTTAAGGCCTTATTACCCTATGACAGTGGTGCTAAAATGGGTTCCTAAAAACCAATCAACAATTGTTACAGCTTACAAGCATTTAACTACCTCTAGCTACTGCTACTCCTAAAGTGGGTTATTATATTTTAGTTTTCTTTGTTTCAGATGGGCTTACTGTAACTGTCATCTCTATTTTCAATTGAGCTAACAACAACTACCTTTCTTCCACTTTCCAATACCACATAATTCCATCTCTTCAACTTAAGTACTAAAGAATAAACACACAATTTACTTCAACTGCCCAAACAAGCTTTAAATCCTTCTGTTTAAATATCAGGGATGTGAGATGAAACAATCTTCCTCTTTCCTTCCCCTGAATATTTGCTATTATTGATCCCTTAAGTGGTTCTTTACATTTCATTTGCAATTTAATGGATTTCTCCTAAGAGAAGGGGCTCAATTCCACTTATGGGAAATATTCTATCAACCCTTGAGTCCTCAACAAGGGATATTCTTAACAAAATATAGTGATAAAGCCAAATTCCTGAATCCTAATAATGTACCATGTGTGCACTCTTAAATTGTAAAGAAATATGACAGGGATGTAAATGTCTAAACTAGTTCCTAAGGTAAAGCAAGTCAAACATATACCATTTAAATCATTTAAGGTACCCAATATCTACATAGGTTAAGAAACATACTACTCCTTAGTAGTTTCTAACTTATAATACAATCCCATCAACTCATCAAGAATAGAAACTTGGAGAAGAAAGAGGATTGAGTCCTCAAATTAGCTTTGAATTAGAGGGAACTGAACAACTTTAAAACTCCATATTCACAATTCCATTAAACTCCTTGCCTCCTTACAAATTAACAATAAACCTTTAAGATATCTTCCTTTACCTGTCAATCAATTTGATGTCCAATATGTCACTCTTACAACTAACTGAAAAGCCTTCGATAAACTAATCCGATTATTGCAATGCCGCATAATGGCCTCTTTACAACATCCTTTCCTCGCTTTTAATTAGTTAATAACAGCTACTTTCCTTCAACTTTCCAAATCCACACAATTCCATCTCTTCAACCCATAAAGGGAAGAAAAACACACGAAGTTACATCCACTACCCTTGATTCTTCTGTTTAATATGGACAGAGGTACCAGGTATGTGAGATGAAATGGTCTTCCTCCAAATAATTGCCATGTACTTATACAATTTACTATTATTGATCCAGCTCTAAGTACTATAATGGATTTTCCCTTAAGAGAGGGGGTGCAAGTCTACTTATGGGGAATATTCTAGAAACCCTTGAATCCTTGGATAGGGATAATCTCAAAAAAATGCAATGATGAAGCAAAATCCCTGAATCCTAATGTAAGCGTCGCTCGAAGTGCGCCTACGTTAAAGCATGTGGTGAATATGCTTGGCACTCTTAGGAAGTAGGAATTGACATTACGATTAAGGACAACGATTAGGGACAAAGCAAAGTAGGGAGCCGCCAACAAGTTTTTAAGGAACTTGTAAACCGTTCACGGATCATAGAAAGGAAACCACGATAAGGGACAACGATAGGCAACAACGATTGACCCGTGAAGGTTACACCCCATTCATAATCCATGAGATTACTAACTCCATGTGGTTCGGAACCACGAAAGGAGGATCGGGGATGATGGTACGAAGTGAGTCATGGAGTCATATTCGCCCGTACTGGCCTCTACTCGATTCTTATAGTGAAAAGTGATTCCTGCGATCTCAAAGGCATACAAACAAAATATTCAATTTGCTTCAAACTATTATTAGGCTAAATTGGTTGGATATTAATGCAACACATAATTCTAAAATATTTGTGATCACTTGAATTAAACAACAAGATTAAAAAGGGTCCTAAACCGAATGTCCAAATTATCTTATTAGGCGTGATTTCCAATTACATATTCCCTTTAACATGCAATATGGTGATCAATAAATAATATAATAAACATTAATATTGGAAGCAATTTAACAATAAATTGTTAGTCAAATCAAATAATAATAATAACCCTAATCATGATACTAGCAACAAGAAAAAAAATAAGGGAAATTAAGTGATTAATTACTCACTTTTCGCGTTTCCTTGAATTGCTACATCATGAATAAACTGTTAATAACTTCAATTAAAAATATAAATCAAATTGAAAATTAAATTAAATAAAGGTAGATTTGATTTGGTCCAAACCATCAGTTAATTATATCTTTCACGCCTTGGTTTAAGTATAGAACTTTGGGTATTGTATGGACTCCTTGGAGTGCTTAAAGGAAGGAATAGTGAAAGAATGAGGAGGCTAGTGTTTAGGCTAAAGAGGGATAAGAGAATTATTTTGATGATCAAGATTGTTGATGATTGAAAAAGGGGTGATATGACCTCTATTTGTAGAGAAAAAAGAGGGTCGAAGAATCAAGAAAAGATCGAGTTCGAATCGGATTAAAACTCTTGCGATAGACAACAGTTTTTGCGATTTTTGTTTTTATCATATCTTTTGATCCAGAAATTGGAATAAGATGAATAAGATATCGTTGGAAAGATCTTAAAGTCTACTTTCTAACCCAATTTAAATAAGATTAAAATATTATGTAGAATAAAATATATGGCCAAAATAGTGAGACGGTGTCAGTTTTGGACAGAGTTTGACATTTTATTCATGTCTTTTCCGTTAAAGCTCGGAATTGATATTATAATATATCATTGGAAAGATAATTTCAAGGGATATCCAATCATATAAAATTTGGATAAAAAATATGAGGCACTAAAATAATATCTGTCTATCTTTGAATGTCTTTCAATTCGGATGGAAATAGGATTTTCAAAAAAGGAGTTTTATTCAATTTAAAACTCTTTAATCTTATCTTTTCAAAACGGATAATTAGGATATTTTAGAAACTTATAGAAGCTTCTAATTAATCCTAACTGGTTTAGGAATGGGATTAAATAATTTGGACCCTTCACATGATCATTGGGTCACAGGTAAGGTGGGCTTAGGTTCGGTTTGGGCTTAGTTTAATATTTTGGCCATAACTTACTCGTTATAACTCGGATTTGAGCTTATAATATATCGTTGGAAAGCTCTTTTAAAGCCCCATCCAATTATTGAATTATTGGACCCATATTATGGACCAAAATAAACTGGATTAAACGTTTCTATAAAAAGGACACGAAATGAATTATTTTGGGTTTAAAGGCACGAAAAGAGGAAAATAAGTTATGATTTGGGGAAATGGGATAGGAATTGGGTTGGTTTATGAAATGGAAATATGGATTAAGAACTCCAAGATTAAATACTCAACCCGACCAATAATGACGGTAAAAAGTTGTTCATCATCGGGTTTGGTTTTGGGAGACATATTTAGGTGTCTACACCTAATAATATACAGTTTGCGCACACTCTTACATTGATAAAGAATTTGGCAAGGATAAAGAGTGTCCAAACTAGTTCCAAAGGTACAACAAGTAAAACTTATAACTCAACAATTCAGCATAATAGTAAAGATTTCCAACATTACATAAACAATACCCACCACTATCAACAATTTATTAGCTACCATTTTTCGTAACAATCATAGCTTACATTCCATTTGCATCCATATACATTATACACATCATGTTTTATAAATAAAGATCATTGGACAAACAAAAAAGGGTAAATGCATGATTAACTCATTCCAATTACATCCAAAAAAAAAAGTTGGGTTAGATGATTTTATTAAACACTTAATATATCAACATTTAGACATAAAATTCTCAACCCAAGCAATTACAACATACCTCCTTCTACTCTAGGATCAGTTCTATGTTGCCAAACCTAAGTCATCCCATCCCAACCATTACTAGCCAACAACCCTTCATCAAGAACACTCATATCGATCCCGGCTGGGTAATGAGTATGACGATCATACTTCTCAATTAAAGCATCCTCCACCGTAAAATCCCAGATACAAACCTTCCTATCTAAAGAGAGACTCATAACCATGTTCTGGCGATGTGGCAAAAATTTAACCTTCATTACAGCATACTTATGACCAACAAGAACACCAATGAGAGTCCTAATACTCCTCACATCCCAAACCCGAACCATATTATCTATCGCCCCAGTGGCCAGCAAACAATCATCAAATGTATTCCAATCACAAGACGAAATCTCACGATTATTACTACTAGCAAGTATGGTCATAGTAAAGCGCGAGTTTCGAACATCACAACACCGAACCGTGTAATCCCTGGAAGCCGAGGCAAAAACATTGGCAAGCAGGGGATTCCAAGAAACATTATAAACACAATAATCTTGTCCCTTGAAGGTGCTCACACTGGTAGGACGATCAATAGTCCAAAGCTTGATTGTATGATCGAAAGAGATTGAGATGATGGAATTACTGCGAATTGGGCTCCAATCGACGGAATAAGCTTCATTGGTGTGTCCAGAGAGAGGGTGATAAGGGTCTTGTTGAGGGGAAAGAGGTGCTGTACAGTTTGAGGGAGCCGTCGGCAAAGGCGTCGATGAGGAGGTTGTTGTCGGATTTGGATCAGGCGACGTCGTTGATGCAGTCGGTGGCATTGAAGAAGGTGAGTTTGGAGATGATGGGGTGGGGGAGAGGTCGAGGATGTGGAGGCAGCCATTGTCGTGCTTGTCGAAGTTTTGGGTGGTGGCGACGGCTAAGCGGTGTTTGAAGAAGGGGATGAATTTGACGGAGTAGTCCTTGAAGGCAGTTTTGAACACCGACATGATTGGAGTTGGCTGGGTCTAGTGAATGATGTAGATTAAGGTTGTACAATGGTGAGGAAATAAGTTAAATTAGGTTATTTTAATTTTTTAAACAAACCCTCAAAGGGCTAAACTTAATTACTGAAATCAGCCAAAGCAAGTTCTACAAACCGAGAACGGATTTCATCTTGCCACATACGTTCTCCACATTCCCAAGGTTGAGAATGGGCAATAGCATGAGCTAACGTATTTCCCCCTCTTTTAACAAAAGACCACTTAACCAAATCAAAACAACTACTAAAATCAACAATATCATCAAAAATTAAAAACAACTCACCAGCACCCTGTGACTTATCTCGTAATGCTTAAATGATAGGAAGGAAGTCACTCTCCAAGATAAATCTTCGCAGCCCCAAGTCTCTAGCCAATTCCAACCCCAACACAATAGCTTTAACTTCATCCACACTTATCTCCTAACAGTCATGTGATTGAGCAACCTTACAAGCTCTGACTCTGCCCTCATCGTCCCTCACTGCTTCCCCAAGACCAGCTCCAAATTCACCAACTCCCCCCGCATCCACATTGACCTTACAAAAGCCCCTAAGAGGAGCAAACCATACAGTCTTATAAGTGCTCCCAGCAGCAGGTCCACCACTCAAAATCTTCGAGTTCTCAGCTCTGACTTCCTCACAAGTCTTCGAGGCATAGCTCACCACTTGAGCTAGATCCTTACTCTCATTCTCCACCACCAGAGAGTTGTGTGCTCCCCAAATGGCCCAGCAAAGCGTGACCACATCAGCTACATCATTAGAATCCAACTCGGCAAAACAGCTCATCCACCAATCAATCAAAGAGACTATGTTCGAGTTAGCCACAAAAGCAAAAGCACTCTTCTCCCAAATTGCTTTGGCATGCTTACAATCTCTCAGATCATGAAGAGTAGACTCGTACTCATGCAAACATATGCTACACTCAGGGGAATAGTCTTTATTCGGTCATTAATACCATACCTTGTAGGGAGGGCATTATTGCAAGCTCGCCAAATTTTTTTTAACACGAGGCAGGACTTGAAGTTGCTAGACTTTCTTCCAAATATCAGCAGGGTAAGAAGCGGCTTCCTCCTTTGGATTCCAATCATCATCAAACAGAGCATGGTAGGCCGACCTCACTGAGTAATCACCATTATTCTCAAGGTCCCAGCAAATACTATCTTCCGGAAACCTCTTACTCAGGGGAATGCTGAGAATTCTGTCACACTTGAAGCCAAGAAAACACTTAGACAGCTTGTTGTGCACATCCCAGTCGTTTGTATCCGTCACCATGAGCTTACTAACTTGCATGTTCACATCAGCATCTCGTCTAGGGGAAAGAATTAAATGATTTTAAGTCATAGGAACCCAAGGGTTAGTCCACACCTTAATATTCTCACCATTTCCCACCCTCCATCGCATCCCATGCCTAACCATCCATCGAGCCTCAGCAATACCCCTCCACGTATAGCTCGGATTAATGCCTATATTTGCCTCCATAAAGACGAATTTGGATAATATCGACTCTTTAATACTTGTTCCACCAGGCTGCCCGTATTCTTCACTAACCTCATGCTTGCTTACCCAATAATGCCCAATTGAACAACTTGAAATCTCGGAAACCAAGACCCCCTTCCTTCTTCGATCTACATAATTTTTTCCAAGCTAACCAATGGATTTTTCTTATTCCTAGTTTTTGCCCCCACCAAAATTGAGCAACAAGAGATCTTAACTCCTCACAAAAAGACGATGGAAATTTAAACACACTCATCGCGTAGGTAGGAAGAGATTGGGCCACCGCCTCTATCATAACTTCCCTACCGGCCTTAGATAAAACCATCCCCTTCCAACCTTGAAGCTTCTTCCATAATTTCTCCTTTACCCCTTTCGTGATGACTTTTTTTTACCTACCTATCACCGTAGGTAAGCCCAAATATCTATCATGAATGTCAAAAATTTGCACCCCAAGGTTGCTGGCCAACTCACCACGCCTAGCATCCGGGACTCCCTTGCTAAAAGAAACTGTCGGCTTATCAAAATTAATTTTTTGGCCCGATGACAACTCATACAAATGAAGGACCTCCTTAATCGAATCTACATCACCGATCGTAGCTTTCAAGAAAATATTACTATCATTCGCAAACAAGAGATAATTGATAGATGGAGCAGTAGGAGCAACACGAATACCATGAATACTACCTCGGACCTTTGCATCACGGAGCAATTGAGAAAAGACTTCCTCACACAAAATGGACAAATATGGAGAAATAGGGTCACCTTGTCTAATCCCTTTGCCGTTGGATTCCCATTCACAAGCACGGAAAAAGAGACCAAACAAACACACCTCATCACATTCCGAGACCACGACTCATCAAACCCAAATTTATCAAGTATTGTTTCTAAGAAATCCCACTCTACCCTATCATAAGCTTTCGACATGTCAAGCTTCATAGCCATACAACCACCCTTGTTCGGCAAATTTTTCATATAATGGAACATTTCAAAGGCCACAAGAATATTTTCATAAATTAACCTCCCCATAGTAAAGGAACTTTAATTCACATAAATAATGTTGTCAAGAAAAACTTTTAGACGATTTGCAAGCACCTTAGAGATTAATTTATACACCACATTGAACAACTAGGTAGGCCTAAAATCCACCATACGATCAACATTATCTTTCTTCGGAATAAGATCAATATAAGTATGATTGAGAGTTTGAGACATAGGGGCACCACGCAAAATCGAAAGAACACAATTCGAGATCGAAGGACCAACAATGTGCCACTAAGATTAAAAAATAAGGGACACATACAATCAGGACCCAGCGCCTTAATTGGATGCATTTGATCTAAGGCTCGCTTAACTTTATCGGCAAAGTACTCGACCTTCAAAATTAAGCTCATATCATCTGTCACCCTAGCTTGAAAATCACGCAACACCTGCTCAATATGGGTGGGATTTGATGAGGTAAAAAGATGGTGAAAATAGGCAGTAGCAACTCTACCTACCTCGTCATCACCAGACCGAAGCACATCATCATCATCTATGATACTTTTAATGGTGTTCTTCCTCTTCCTCCTTGATGCTCTTTGGTGGAAAAACTTAGTATTACCATTGAGCTGTATCATCACCACCACACTTCTCGGACTCATATAATATCTCATTATAATCACCAATGCACACCCATAGGAGATGGGATTGAATTGCAAGATCACAAAGTAACCTCCATGAGAGATATCTATTAGCAACCTCCGGCCAACCATAGAAACCCGTAAGTCTCCACACATCCTCCCCCAAGCCTACCCGGACCTTCACATCAACATGGTGAACTGACATAGTATGCAGAACCACACAAATTCCCTTCCTCCAAGGAAGGGATAATCATCTCGACCTCCCCATAGAATCAACAGCTAAACTATCATAGTTAGGGAAACGCTCTGACACTCTCTAAAATTCCCTACTACTTAACTTCGTCTCTGATAAAAAGATCGAAGATGGGGCCTCTCTTTGAATAAGGTCCCGAAGACTACTAACTGCAGAGGTATTACCCAGCCCCCCCCCCCCCCCCCCCCTATAGTTTAAACTAAAGATACTCATTGAGCCCGGCGGGGTTGCTCATTAGCAACCTCCGCCAACCGCAATTCAGTATGAACATCAGACAACACCACCTTTTTATTAGACCCATCCCCATCCCCTCCTTTCCCCCTGTACTCCTCCCTCTCTTACCCAGAATGTCTTCATCCACCACCTCCATATGGCTATCAAATTGGTCCCTCTCCGTGACTACTCTTCTTATTTATGCCTTTTACATTGTTAGGCCCCACCTCAGCCCAAAATCAAATACCTCCAACCCACTACTTCCTTCAGAATTATTACTACAATTTCCCTCCCCTGCTTCAGCATTGTTTTCCTTCCCATCATTATGTTCCCCCTCCAAAATTCTATGCACCACTTCCACGACCCCACTATACTTTTCACTCCCATTTAATTCCAGCACAGTGATATTATCCTCCCTCCCCTTACCACTAAAATCACTCCCTTCAATACTCCCTTTCACCAACCCCTAATTTTCTAAAGCATCATATTGAAAATTGGTTTCATCCTTCTCCTTTGTTACAAAAAGCTTTCTTCTCGAAACTAAAACTGACTCAAGCTCCTCCCTTTCCTTCATCCTCCCCTTCCTATGCAGAGCTTTAAGCCATACTCCCCATCCAAGATTATTTTTCTTACTATCCTCCGACACCGAGCAACAATCCCTATCGAAGTGTCCAATTATCCCACATGCAAAGCAAAAGAAAGGCAGCCTTTCATAGGAAAATTCCACATGTACCTCCCTGCCACTCTTATCTCGAATTCGCTGCACCCTCCGTAAAGGCTTGGTAATATTGATCATAACCTTCACCTTACGAAATCGATCTAAGCCAAGAGTATCCTCTTCTATCTCAAGAACTTCACCCCAATTTTCCACCAACTCTTTTACATCTTCGTCAGATCGACAATTGAAAGGTAAGTGTTTAATTCGTACCCAAAAAAGGGAATGATACAACAAAACTTTCTCTGGTTGTTCATCGCCCTCTACTTCCTTCAGAACCAACAATAAGTTATCAAAACACCAAGGATGACCATTCAAAACTTTCTCCTTGTCCCTCCAATAGAAGAATTGAAAAGCGAATAAATTAAATCCAAGAACCCTAATTATTAGTTTATCTTGCATAGCCCAAATTTTTGTCATGGTAGATTTAAAGGCCTCCACATTATACGGTCTCTCAGTCACCAGTCTACCGATCAAAAGTAAGTGAAATTTTTCAGCCATAGGAGCATATTTGACAACTCCTAAGTCCACCACACCACCATCCTCATCGTCAAGATTGAGATTAGCATAGCGATCAGCAATTTCGTCAGCCATAGATAGCCAACAAGCAGAAACAGGAAAGCAGATCCGAAGCCAAACGACAGTAAAACCCTAAACCCTATAAAGGAAGACCCTTTCTTGCGAGGGAGTTTTTTTTCGAAGGTGTTAGTTTCACTTTTTTAAGTTGGAAAAATTAGCTTATTTTAATTAGTGTTACTCGTATATTATTGTCGAACCCAACATTCAATATATATTAATTATTTAACCCTAACCCTAGGAAGTCTACTCTCAATAAATAGAGTACTCTATATCATTTGAAGAGGAGAAGAGGAAGTAAGAAGTTTATATCAAAAAAACAAAGAAAACATAAACTTCTCCAAAGAAAACCCTTCAAAACCTAGAATTCGCTTATTTAGCATCATATGTGTTACAATTAAATCTATTTGTCGCTTACGTGCCGTAACACTTGGTAAAAAAACTAAAATATGAAACCGGCTTTATATATTACTGATATGATATGATAAGGGCTAAATTCAAAGATTAACAAAAAAATACAAAAACTTAAAAGAACTACATAAGGGATAAAACAAATTAAACGAACATAAGGGGTATAAAAAAATAACATAAAATATTATAATAATAATAATAACAATAATAATAATAATAATAATAGTAATAACAACAATAATAATAATAACAATAACAATAACAATAACAATAACAATAACAATAACAATAATAATAATAATAATAATTAAACAGATCAGATTGTGAATTAAATGAAAATTAAACATTAATTTCAGAGTTATTAACAATGAACATAACAATTTTTTTTTATATAAAGAACGTTATCTTCAATCTTTGTCATATTGACTTCAAATTCAACATAAATATTCATCAATCAATCATTAACAAAACAATGATCAAAATCATGACAAAACACTGAATGTGCACATCCTTTGTCTTCGATCTCTGGAATTTCTCTCTCTCGAAATTTTCTATTTCTTTCTCTAATTTTTCTGCTTCTTTCTCTAAAGAATTAAAAATATGGAGAAATATACAATTTTTAAAATTTAGATCCTATTAATATGAAAAATAATTATCGAACTCCTTCAATTACGAAGCAAATAATTCAGTTTAAA